GGATGGGTGTGTCAGAGGCGGTGCGGTTGGCGCAGGATAGAGCAGGGTTTAGAGCTGTTGTGCATAGGGTCGCTAAGAGTTGGAAACGATTCGAAGGCACATAACAACAACAATTTCCTTTTAAGGGAATTCTGGTGGTTTAGTGGCAAGAAGTTGTGCTGCAATCAGCAAAGCAAGAGGGTTGGGGGCCACCAGCTGTTAGGATGGGGAGGGGGAGGAGAAGGATGAGCAATCTCCTCCCATACAATTAGCTGCCTCTGAAAACCCGCCAGAGGATCAGCTGTGGGTCAGTTAGGACTCTACAGTACACAACAACAACAAAAACAACTTCTTTTTAAAGCTATAAACCTTTAAAGGAAACTATTACGCTGTTTTTGCTAACAACTCAGAAATGGAGATATTTGGGAATTACAAGGTCTGGTATTCACGGTAGGTTGACCTACTTTTATGCTTCCAGAGTTTTCCCAAATCAGTAGCAGCACAGGAGCTGTAAGGACTTGCTTCAAATGAAGTTTCCTGACAAGGAAGCCGCCACGAAACCGAAGTCAGATTGACAGCACCTTTGTCCAATAGCGCCGGAGAGAGGCGTATCCTCTCACGGACGCTCCAATCGCCTGTGTAGAGTCGCGGTCTCCGGGGCGAAAGCGGAAGTGGGGCCTCTGCAGGCCACATGGAGCCGCTGCTCCAACAGCTGGACCGCTTCTCTGAGGTCCTGGCAGTCTCCCGTAGCACCCACGTCAAAAACTGGGACCCCGTAACTGTGGGTCGGGCTTTGCAGTGGGCTCGCTACCTGCGCCATGTCCATGGACGCTTCGGTCGCCATGCCGGCATCCGCGCGGCTTTGGAGCGGCGACTGCGCGAACAGGGGAGGCAGCAGGGCCGCTCTGGGCCGGGCCCAGTGTCCGAACTGACAAACTTCGAGTCCCTGGGACGCTGTGACATCCTGTTAGCCTTGCGTCTGCTGGAGAACCGGGCCCTCGGGGATGCTGCTTATCACCACCTGTTGCAGCAGCTCTTTCCGGGTCCCAGCGTCCCCGACACCGACAGCGAAGGGGAGTCGCTCCAAGCCGGCCTGGCCCGCCTCGCCCGCCGCCGGGCCGCTGTGCACATGCTGCGCGTCTATTGCTCCCGAGAGATGCCGGCGGTCCTGGAGGACACGCTGGTGAAGACGCAGGCGGAGCTGCTGCTGCAGCGTCTGCAGGAGGTGGGCGCGGCCGGAGCGGGCGGCCTTCTCAGCCGCCTCTGGGGGCGCTTGTCGCAGAATAGCTTCCTGAAGGTGGTCGCGGCCGCGTTGCTGCTACCGCCGGCTCCCGGGCGACCCCTCCAAGAGGGCCTGGAACTGGACCGCCCCGGAGCACCCCGGGAGGGCATGCAAGAGCTGGCCTCTTGGCTTTTAGGAAATTCGGACGTCCGGGCTGCTTTCTGTCGCACCCTCCCAGCTGACCTGTTTAGCCTCGGTGGCCGACCACCACGCGGGGCTCTTCCGAGTCTACCTGGGTCTGCTAACCGACTGGGGTCGCCATCTGCACTATGACCTGCAGAAAGGCAGTTGGGTTGGAGAGGAGCCTCAGGGTTTGTCCTGGGAGGAGTTGCACGCCAGGTTTCAGAGCCTCTGCCAGGCTGCTCCGCCCCTGAAAGATGAAGTTCTAACCACCCTGAAGTCTTACAAGGTGCAGGATGGAGATTACCAAGTCCCTGGGCTTAGCATCTGGACAGACCTGCTGTTAGCTCTTGGTAGAGGTCCATGATGTTGCACTGGGGAAAAGACAAGTTCTAGGTCGCAACCATGGCGTTGGTTCTCCACAGACAACGTCTTGTTAATTGTTCTCTTAAATAAGGTTTACAAAATTAAAGTTTCTGTATTCTCACCACATTTCTACCATCATTTTTCAGAAATATTAGTGGTGCTAACGTTTGGTGATTTATCCAATTCATTATAAATAAATAGATAAATAAGTAAATCAATCAATTTGTAAAATAATTGGCTTTATAGTACCACTGAGGTGTTGGAGAAGAGTTTTGAATGTACCTTGGACTGCCAGGAGAACCAGCAGGTTCGACTTAGAGTGAAATCAGACTGCTCCTTGGAAGCAAGGATTCTGAGGCTTTGTCTGACATACTTTGGGCATGTTGCAAAGAGGGACCCGTCCTTGGAGAGGGACACCATGCTTGGAAGGGTGGAGGGACGGAGAAAGGAAAACCATCGATGAGATGGATTGACACAGTGACTGGGGTAATGAGGTTAGGTGTGTCAGAGACAATAAAGGTGGCACCGGATATAGCAAGTTTCAGGGCCGCTGTACATAGGGTTGCTATGAGTCGAAGTGACTCAACGGCACATACTATTAAACAGTACCACGGATAGAAGTGCTATCAGTGACATGTTAAAATATTCTTAAGTGGTGGAACTAGTAGTGGTTTTCTTTCTAAAAAACCAGTTTCTAATTATCTTGGAAAGATAAGGACTATTTAGAGAAACCATCCTCTAAAAAATACACAATGCTTAGGACACTTTATATATCAGCATAGTTAACATTTATGGTTTTATCAGTAGTGAAGATTTTCTTTCGTCAGTGTCATTTACTCACTGGTACTGAGTTGAAACGGCCCTTAAGCCACAGCTGGTTTTTAAAGGCAGTAAATTACACAGAAGAAAATTGCCATATTGCCTAGAGCAGCTGGTGGATTAGAACCAAATGCTTTTGGGTCGGCGACACAATGTATGTCAAAATGTTGAATTGAAAAGCTAACTCTTTGGAGGTTAAGCCTTACACGATGACCTTGCTAACCAAGTGTTCCAGTCAGCCAAACTTGTATTAAAATTTATTCCAAGCATTTCTTATTTCTCTAACTGTTGAGATTGAAGAACTAAATAATAAAACATTAAGTCATAAATTTAAAAAAAACAAACCACCAAAATCCCAAACACCCCAATCCAACGTATATAAATATATGCCTTTGGATATTTAACTCTTGAGGATAGTTAACATTTTAATTAAAAGGCCCAGGTGTCAATGATGTTTCTGTCATTGACCAGACTCATAAACCATAACTTTGGTTAAAAAGTTGCTTATAGGTTTAAACAATTTATATAAACTTACTGAAAGCTCTTTTGTTTCCTTGGTGGCTGCCCAGTGGGGATAGTGAAGCTTCATCTCTTATACTTTGGACATGTTGCTGGCAGAGCCATTGCATTAGCCCTTGTTGGGGGACTTGGTCTTTAGCTACTTTAACTGCTGACATAATGGTCTTGCAAATCCTCAACAGCTTTCGGACCACTATAAGAGAGAGAGCTTTCTACAGTGTGAGGTACCCTGTGAGGTGATGGTGGTGGAGAGACAGTGGACACTGTGACACTACTGTGAAGAGAATGTGACAAGGTAGAACTAGAGGAAATCTGCATTTATGTTATAAATGTTTTGCTTGCTAGATGATTGAAGCATTAGAGTTAAGCTGATTTATAACCATTCTGAGATAAAGTTTGTTTCATGATTAAAGAAACCAGAGACTTCTTGCATTTGTGCTATTTAATAGAATCCAATTGTGCTTTAACAAAGCAATTGTGCTTTGTGGGATTTTTTTACTAAACCTGGACTTGCATTGTGTTAACATTCTTTGCCTCACACATTCTCCAACCTAATAAACCCCACAACTATGAGGAAAGTCTGTGAGTTAACAATAAACTTAGACTCAGTGATTGTTGGAAATAGCTGCAGGAGCATGTGGGGTGGCATATCTGATTATATAGCTATTTGTATAGTGCTATGGACATTATTGATGGGGACAGTTCCCCTTTATGAAGCACATTGAAGTCAGCCTCAGCCTCTGTCACATAGCATCTGCTCCTTACAATAGCACAGTATTTAGTCTATGGTGAGTATACCAAATGTTTAAATAAACTCAGGATTAGAATTATAGATCTTTATACTTTCACTGACAAACAAAATTAAATAAAAAACCACTTCCCATACAGCATTTCTAACTCATGATTCTCCCATGTGTTGAGAGATACAAAATAGCGCTCCTGATAGGAGATCAGCAGGACTTTTCCACTGAGGCACTTCTGATTAGTTACAAACTGTTTACCTTTTGCTTAGTAATCAAGTGCTTAATTGTTTGCAGTATCCAAAGACTCCTAGAAATCAAATAAGGACTTGAAAAGGTGCCCCTATGTTTATGATCCCTTGAGGGACCAGAGAGGGATGTATGTGTGTCAGGAAAAAGTAGGTCAGTGAAAGAATCACAACATGATGTGACTGCCACAATGGACTTGAACATGGCTGAGATTGTGAAGTTGACACAGGGCAGGGCAAAGTTATGATCTGTTGTTCATAGGATTGTTATGAATTGTAGTTGGCTAGAGGGCACCTAAAAGCCATATTTTAGAGGTAACCCTTGTTAGGTGCTGTCAAGTCGAATACGATCTATGGCCTGAATCAGACGCACCTTGGTCCTCAAACTGACATCAATACTTCTCAGTAATTTGGAGAGATCCCTAACTGCAGACTTTCCAGTACGTCTGCTGATTTCTTGACTCCTGATACCAAGGAAGATGGATTCAAGTAAGATGAAGTTGTTGACAATTTTAATCTTTTCTCAATCTATCATGAAGTTGCCTATTGGCCCAATGGTAAGAATCTTTGTTTTCTTGACATTAACATGGAATCCTTTCAGTCTTAAGATTCAGTGTTTATTTTTCTTCATCTGCATCAAGTTTTTACCTTTAATGTCATCAAAGTGTCAGTCACTTGTATATTCTTCTAGCTCAGGTATTTTTCTCAAATGTTAGACTAGTATATATACAATAGTCAACTAAAGACTTCCTCTTGGTACCCAAGCCCAACATGACCTGAAATGTCATTCATAACACCATCTTTCCAGTTTCTCAGAGCAAAAATCTAAGTGTCTTACATGATTTTTCTCTTTTCCTTTATATCTGATATTAAAAGCCGTTAGTTAAATAGACAAATACATTCAGAATTTGACTACTTCTTACCATCTCTCTTGCAAAACGTCTGGTCCAGGCCATTGTCATCTCTTACTTGGATTCCTGCAATAACCTTTAGGATTCTTTATTTCACTTTTATCTCTACTATATTAAACGTAAGATATGTTATTCCTATATATTCTGGACTGGCTTCTCAGGGTCCGTCCAATGGTCTACAATGTCTATATAATCAGCACTTGCCTCTTTAGTATTTTCTTTCTTTAGTGTCCTCTCTGGCCTCTTTACTACCCTCTGCTCCAAGCTCACTGACCTCTTTATTGTCCCTAGAACATAACAGGTATAATTCTTCCTTAGTGCTTTATTTTACTGTCAGAAGACTCTTCCCTCATTTACCTAATTAAACATTTATGTGCTTTAATTACTTGCTCAACTCTTCCCTCTTCAAGAGCTCATCTATTTATCTCAATAAATGAAGCAATTTTTCCTAACACCAACTTACCTCACTATCACCTCCCTATTCCTGATCCCCCTTGTGCTGTTCCAACCTCAATTAATTTCCATAAAAAAATGTTGTTATATACCATCGTCAATTCTGACTGACTCCTAGCCATCCTATGAACAATGGCTCTGAACTTTGTCCTATCCTGAGCCAGCCTCACCATCTCTAACACACCTGACCCCATTACCGCAATCACTGTGTCAGTCCATCTCACCAAGGGTCTTCCTCTTTTACACTGACTTTCTACCCTTCCATGCATCATGTCCTTCTCCCAAAACTGACCCCTCCTGACAACATGCCCAAAGTATGTGAGATGGAATTTCACCCTCCTTGCTTCCAAGGAGTATCCTGGTTTCACTTTCTCAAAGACAGACTTATTTGCTCTCTTGTCTATGAAAGAAGAGTATATTCAATACTCTTCTGCAGCACCACAATTCAAAGCCATCAATTCTTCTGTAATCACCTGCTAATTTACTTGATATCCAGTTAATTCTTGGGGCCTTATTTTTTGCCAGTGATTTCAGTACAGCTTACACTCTTCATTTCCATTGGTTCTTATTCATATGGTACTTACTGAAATTTTTCAGTGTCAAGCAATTCTTTTTGGTACAGTAGCTGTGTATTCCTTCCATCTTTTGCTGCTTCCTGGATCATTCAAGATTTTGCCATAGCATCTTCAAATATTGTCACTTAAGGCTTGAGTATGTTTTTCACATCTTTCAATTTGTGAAATGCCAAGTGAGCTCTTCTCTTTTATTCTCAATGCCAATTCTTTGCACATTCTGTTATAATACTTTGCTTTGTCTTCTTGAGCTTGTATTGGACAAGTCCACTGTCAGTGACTTCTCCAAATTACTGAGGAGAAATTATATCAGTTTAAAAACAAATGCATTTCTGATTCAGGCCATGGTCTTTTCAATCACTTGCTATGCGCCTGAGAGCTGGAAAATGAATAAAGATGACAGAAGTAGAATTGATGCCTTTGAGCTGTGGTGTTGAATATCTCATGGACTGCCAAAAGAACAAACCAATGTGTCCTGGAAAATGTGTAGCCAAAATTCTTGAAGCCAAGGATCTTGAAGCTCTGTCTCATATTCTGTTGATATTGCTAGGAAAAGCCAATTCTTGCAATGGGGCATCATACTTGGAAAGCTAGGGGGTCAGGAAAAAAGAAAGGAAGATCCTCAATGAGATGGAGTGACTGTAACAATGGGCTCAAATGTGTCAGAGTTGGTGAGGATGGCAGAGTATAGGACAGAGTTCAGATCTGTTTTCCATAGAACTGCTATGAGCCATACTCG